AAAATTAAAATATAGATGAATCAACAACTGGAAGGTATATCAGTACCACAATAGTAAAAAAGAGGAGGAGGGAAAAGAAAAAACAAGGGGGGGAAAGGCCTTGGCTGTGGAGAGCGGGGCCTAAGCAAGGACAAGGTTTGGGCGGTGGGCAGAGCCAATGCTCAGGACCCACAGGGCTGGAAAAGGCCCTGGGGGCTGTGTGGGGTGGGGCTTAGGCTCAAGGAACAGAAGGGGCCCAGGCATGCCCTCCACCCCTGGTCTCAGAGGGCCGGGGACCTCACCTGGGATCCCAGCAGGCTTCCTGGGCTCGAGTGGGTGGGGCAATAGCCCTCTGCTCCTCTTCTGCTTCTCCTGGAGGGCCCCTCCCACCTGCCTCTCCTGTTCTCTCCTTGGCCTCATTCCTATGTCCCCAAGGACCCATGTGGCCTGAAGGGGGTTTGGAAATCAGGGGATCAGCCTGGGAGCTCAGCAGGCTCCCCATGCACGAGTGGGCCAGGCGATCACCCTCTGCTCCTCTCCTGTTCCTCCCTGAGGGCCCCTCCTGATCTCCCTGGCCTCAGGGGCGCCAAACCTGTCTGGTGTCCTCTTCTCCTCCCCCCTCAGTCCCCCTACGTCCTACCAGTTCACTTTGGGGTTCCTCCTGTCTCACTGGGTGTCAGAGTCCCCCGCCAGTGGTAGGGAGATGCTAACTCAGAGTCTTCCCACACTGCCATCTTGACTCCACCTCCAGATTAGTTTTTTCTCTAATTATTTAAGTCCTTGTTTCTTTCCAAGAGGAGGGTTGATGGTGGAACTCCCTGGATGCTATTAAGGTCCTTCAGAGGGCAGCTCCATCAGGGGCCTGGCTTCCTGACTGATGCATATCCTGTCACTGCTGAGTTCAGGCTCTAGTCCATTCAGTGGCTAAAAAGTGAGCTATAGTTAATAGAGGCAGAGGAGACCAACCCTGGCCAGAGAATTTCCCTTTCTGGAATATTTTTAGACTATGGAAAACTATAAAATTTAATTTCTGAAGTTCCAGGCACAGAGATATCTCTGTTTGGTGTGCCATAGTTGTAAGATTCTGACGCCAGTTCCAGTGTGTGGTTTTTTTTTCCCACATCAAACGATTCCCCAACACCAGCTGGGTGTCCTACAATTCAACTCAATTCTGACACTTTCTACCTGGAGATAACATCAGATTACCCTTGTTAAGGTCTTAGTCCTACAAGACTGTTTCCCCACCACCACCACTTCAGATGTCAATTGCATGTCTAGGTTGTCACCTGTGCTTCTGACCAACAGGGTATACACTGGAGAGTCCAATGACTCCATCCTTGGGTTAATTAATTTGCTAGAATGGCTCACAGAACTCAGAGAAACATTAACTTACTAGATTACCAGTTTATTATAAGAGGATATACTTCAGGAACAGCCGGGTGAAAGAGGAACATAGGGCAGGGTATGTGGGAAAGGGCTCAGAGCTTCCATGCCCTCCCCAAGCTTGCCACTCTCCCTGTACCTCCGCATGTTCACCAAACTGGAAGCTCTCTAAACCCCATCTTTTTGGGTTTTTATGGAAGCTTCATTACATGGGCATGATAGATTGAATTATTGGCCTTTGGTGATTGAACTCAATCTTCAGCTGCTCTCCCCTCCCCAGAGAGGGCTAAAGGTTCTAACTGTAATCACACACTGATTCCTCTTGTGACAAGTCCCCATCCTTCAGTGACCTACGTGCTTCCCAAAAGTCACCTCATTCAAGACACTTGTACTGCTCTCATTACAGGAAATTCCAAGGGAGCTCCGTGCCAGTAAGAGGGATGTTGATCAAATATACACTTATTATAAATCACAAATTTCTTGTGAAAGTTTTACTTAATCCTATAAAGACAAGCTCTTTTAATTGGAAGTTATTGATAGAATAACAACAACTACAATTTCCATTTATTAAATACTTCCTTCTGTTGAGTACTTATTATGTGGCAAGCATTATGCAAAGGACTTTAACTGCAATATCTCATTTATTTTCTTTTTCTAGCTTCTTGTATTAAAATTTTAATTCATTTATGTTCTATCTTGTTTTCCCAAAGGGTACTTCAAAGCTATAAATTTACTGCTAGGTACTGCTTTATCTGCATCTCACAAGTTTTGTTATGTATTTTTTTCATAGTTTTTCAAGTCTAAATGTTTTGTAATTTTTATTACGACTTCATCTTTAATCCACAATATATTTAGGGGTATTTTTATTTCTAATTTAACAGTATTATGGATAGAAAATATGATTTGTATACTACAAGCTATTTAAAATTTGTTGAGGCTTCCTTTGCTAAAGTGATCACTGTGTGCTTGAAAAGGATATATATTCTTTTTTCAGATGCAGGCTTCTACACACCTATACTGGATCAGGTTAACTAAATTAGCTCTTCATATCTTACATAACTTTTATCCTTTTTTATCTACTTGATCCATCAGATCCTGATAAAAGTATATTGAAAATATTCTACTGAGAATATGAATTAATCAACTTCTCTTTATAATTTAGTCATGTTAAGTGCATACAAATTCATAATCATTGTATGTTCTTTTTTTTTTCTGCACGCAGGCTTTCTCTAGTTGTGGCGAGTGGCGGCTACTCTTTGTTGCGGTGCACAGGCTTCTCATTGTGGTGGCTTCTCTTGTTGTGGAGCATGGGCTCTAGGTGCGAGGGTGTCAGTAGTTGTGGTACGCAGGCTCAGTAGTTGTGGTGCATGGGCTTAGTTGCTCCTCGGCATGTGAGATCTTCCCGGACCAGGGCTCGAACCCATGTTCCCTGCACTGGCAGGCAGATTCTTAACCACTGTGCCACCATGGAAGCCCCTCATTATATATTCTTGATGGGATGTTGCTTTTATGATGTATACTTTAGGCTTAAATTTTATTTGGTCTGATAGAAATATTGCTAGGCATATGTATTAGTTTCCCATGGCTGCCATAACAAATTACCACAAACTGGGTGACTCAAACCACAGAAATTTATTTTCTCATGTTTCTGGAGGCTAAATGTCAGTAGCAAGGTATTAGTAGGGCTGTGCTCCCTCCTAATCCTGTAGGAGAGGATCCCTCCTTGCCTCTTCCAGCTTCAGGTAACCCTTGACATTCCTTGGCTTGTGGCAGCATAACTCCAATCTGGGTCTCCACAACCACGTGGCCATCTTTCTATGTGTCTGTGTGTCTCTCCTCATAAGGACACCAATCATATTGGATTAAGGATCCATCCTACTCCAGTATGACCTCATCTTAACTGATTACATCTGCAATGACTATTTCCAAATAAGGTCACATTCTGAGGGGCTGGGGGTTAGAACTTCAACATATTGTTTTGGGGGACACAACTCAATCCATAACCACACGTTTATTTTTGGTTTTCATTGGATGGGTATATCTTTTTCTAACTTTTTATTTTCAATCTTTCTTTGTGGTTTTGCTTTAGGTATACTTCTTTTTTTTTTTTTTTTTTTTAATTTTACTTATTTATTTTTGGTTGCGTTGGGTCTTTGTTGCTGTGCTTGGGCTTCTCATTGCGGTGGCCTCTCCTGTTGCACAGCACGGGCACTAGGCGTGCGGGCTTCAACAGTCGTGGCTCACGGGCTCAGTAGTTGTGGCTCATGGGCCCAATTGCTCCGTGGCATGTGGGATCCTCCCGGACCAGGGATCGAACCCGAGTCCCCTGCATTGGCAGGCAGACTCCCAACCACTGCGCTACCAGGAAAGCCCGAGGTATACTTCTTATAAACTTTGTTCATTTTTTATCTAATCTGCGAGTCTATCTTTTAATAGGTTATCTGTTTACATTTATTATAATGACTAATATATTTTAACTTATTTCTGCCATATTTAGTTTTCTATTTACCACCCCTTTTCTTTGCTTCATTGTTATTTTCCTTTCCAGCTAGCCTAGACTCCCCCCACAAAGCAGAGTCTGAGATAAGGGCTTGTTGGCAGCTTATTTCAGGAAATGATTCCAGGAAGAGTAGAGGAGGGGGCTGAATGGAAAGCTGATCACCACCATGAGCAAAGGGACCCACTACAGACCCTCAGAGGAGGTATATAGAATGCAGCCTTGTCTATAGAGATGTTAATAGTGTTTTTTGAATGCGTCTGTATCATTTTAATTTTCTCTTTATGTATCATATATCATTGTTATGTGTTTGAAGCAGAGGGTATTCCTCCCAGCATGAACTTACATCAGTGTCTTGGCTGTCATTTAACTTTCACATAATCCTATGAGGCACTTTATCACCTCCATTTTAGAGAAATTGAGTCTCAGAGAGGTGAAGTAACTTGCCTGAAGTCACACAGCCAAAAAGGGATGGAGCCAGAACTCATACTCTGGTCTGTTTGATTCCACAGCCATTCCTCTTAACCACAAACTCTACTGTGTTATGTGGTGTTGGGTGCAAGTCGAAGCTAGCCCATGTTTACTTGAGTTTCAGTGGCACCTCTTATCTCAACCTCATCAGTCCTCATATGGGGTACAGTTCTTCCATGAAGAAGAGCAAGCTACTGGACACCAAGCAACTAGATGGTATCTGTGTGGTTTGACCCCATCTCTGTCCAAACAGGAGTATTCTAGAGAGACCCTGAAAATTACAGAAGCAAAGAGATTTCATAACCTTTATTAAAGAAGCGTTTTTTGTTTTTGTTTCTGTTTTGGGCCCACAGCTCTATCTACTCCCCACAGAGTGTGGATTACTAGGTAAATCAGGTAATTATTGCCTAAGTCAGGGACTACTGTGATTGAGAAATTAACCATGTCTGTTTTTCTTCTGCAGGCTCACTGGAAAAGAATGTGAGGTATTTTCCCCTCTTCCTCTCCAGAGGCCCCTGTGTTTTGGAGGGCTGGGCTTCTCTTGCCCCAGGGAAGAGTTAGAGGCCTTAGATTTTCTAAGGGTCTGGAGACTTAACACTACTTGTTAGAGATGGAGAGGGCTGGGGAGGGGGCCTGGGGCCCAGAGGTCATTAAAGGCTGGCAGGACCCTTGAGTGCTGGGCCTCCACCAGGCACTCTGGAGGTGGCAGGGCCTTTGGGGAGGGCCTAAGAAGGGGGAAGAGATGTCTGGGGGCCCTTGGTTTGGAGATGTTGCTGTGGGCAGCAACAGCAGCCTCTAACTGGTCTACTAGGGCTTCGACCATAGGCAACTCAGCAGTGACCATCACAGACCTGGTGCCCTTTGCCAAGTTTCGGGAATCCTGAAGTACTCGGAGTTCTGCGTGGAAGGAGAGTGAAGGGCCCTGAAAAGTGGCTGGGATTGAATTATCTGAGGTCCTGGTAGGTGGGGGTCTAAGTATGATTTAATTTGATTTAGAAAATTCGTGAAATGTGTCATGGAACACATTCCTAAGTGTTGTGGAACAATTTATATCAGTTACGCTAATAATGACCAAATCCTGAGGGAATTTTTCTAACATATTTGGTAAAATAGGTCTTACTATTTTTTTAATCTTTTGGAAATGGTTGATCAATAACTGACAGGATATAACTATTCCAAGCCCTTCTTCTGGTAAAAATATCCTCATCCTGGTAATTTAAATTCCAAATTACCTCCAGATGAGGCTTTAAAAACACCCTGTGATTAAATCCACACCAAATGGAGTTTCTGTGGGAACCTTTGCTGACTCAGAGGGACGACCTGTGAGTTTTTTGAAAGGCCCGGGATCTGGACTGGGCTAGAAATGAGACTTGGGGCTGAGGAACCCATGACTCAGCCTTGGGGTTCCTGGCCCCGGACGCTTGCCCAGAGCTGAACGTTCGACTGAAAGGCCTTAGAAGGAGCGCGCTGGGAATCTCTCTGGAATCTCAGGACCCTTTCTCACCTACCCTTATTAGACCAAGGAGGCAGAGCTGCAGGGGTGGGACCGACAGGCATTAGGCTGGGCCTGGGGGTTGGGAGCGAGCCAGTGCCTGAGTCTGTGCATCTGTATGTGTCTGTGTTTGAGTCTGCGTGTTTGTCTCTGCGTGTGTGTGTGTGTGTGTGTGTGCACGTGCGCACGCCGCGTGCATCCTTGGCAGGGAGAGGGCGTCAGGAAGGCCCTTGATTCTAGGTTTCCTAAGAGAAAGTGGTTCACAGCACAGGTGTCCAAATTTCTTGGGCCAGAAGCCCGCCAGGGTCTCGCAGACCACCTGTAGCCCAGCACACGTGGCTCTGGCCTGTGTTGCGGGCAAGGAACAGGATCTTCTTTTTAGCTGAGAGCGGTGGGCACAAGAAGGAGCAGGGTGGAGAGTGTGGGGGGAGCCGGCCAGCACCCTGGGCGAGGGGATGGGGAAACCGAGGCAGGGAGGGCAAACTTTACTCCAAAGCCCTCAGAACAACGGGTTAATTTCCAGCATGAGGGCTGAGCCTTGCGGCGCGCCGTCCCCCATGGCGTGCGCACGCGCTGACGCTAGGCCCCGCCCCCCCCACCATTTTCTCTCCAGTTCCCCGCCCGCTTGGGGGACGCTGCCTCCAGTGCTGCGGGAATGCTGGAAGGGGTAACGTTTTTTTCGAGCTCTGCTTTAGTTAGACACTCTGCTGGGCACATGCCACTTGGGATCTCATTGAATGTGCTTGGTGACTGTAACCTAAGGTTTGTTATCGCTATTTTACAGGTGAGGAAACTGATGCCCAGAGAGGGGAAGTGGGTTGCTCAAGAGAACGGGCTGATGAGTGTCAGAGGTGAGGCAGGAGCCGTGTGTGCTGAAGGCAGAGGCTTACCTAACAGTCCTCTACCTGTGGACTTCTACATTTAGAAGTGCGCGTAGGCACGCGCTCACACACGCACGCAAGCAAGCGCGCGCCTTGAGGGCCCCCTTATGGAAGACAAGTGGCCCGGACAGCAAGGGGTTCCACTTTATGGTGGTCTCTATTTACGATACACACAAAACAACAACAGGGCTTTCCTGGTGGCGCAGTGGTTGAGAGTCCGCCTGCCAATGCAGGGGACGCGGGTTCGTGCCCCGGTCCGGGAAGATCCCACATGCCGCGGAGCGGTTAGGCCCGTGAGCCATGGCCGCTGAGCCTGCGCGTCCGGAGCCTGTGCTCCGCAACGGGAGAGGCCACAACAGTGAGAGGCCCGCGTACCGCAAAAACAACAACAAAACTGTAGGCCTAGTGAAAGTTAGCCATTCTTTTACACCCCTCTCCTCTTTCTGGGGATGGAAAATAGGCTCTAATTAGCATAGTGTTAAGAGCATGAGCTTTGGAATCAGCCTGTGATTTCGTTTTCCATTTATTAGCTCTGTGACCCTGATGACTCAGCCTATGTAAGCTTCAACGTCTTCGTCTGAAAAATGGGATGATAGTATTTACCTTGTTGGCTGTTGTGTGGATTAAATGAGGCCACGCCCATGGATGAACAATGTTGGATGCCCAATAATCAACCAATAATTGGAAGCTTTATTCACAATAACAATGGTGGTAGCAACAAAAGCAGCCAAAGCACCTGGATGAGCACAGAAGCATCTGGATGATCACAAAAGCAAGGTGAGCTTGGTCCTCTGTAGCAACAGAGGGTGTGACATCTGTGTTTTTGTCAAAAGTCTGGAGGGGTCCCAAAAGCAGGGAGAAAGAGGAGGTGAGCAGCCTGCTGACTGGCCTGGAAGAGGGAGGGGACGGACGTCAGGGACCCTTAACCTTGAGGTGGAAAGTTCTATGATTGATCTGATGGGTGTCTCTAGCCTCCAATTCCTCTGTTCTCAGAGTTTTAATTGGGTACACCAAGTACTCGGCATTGATAAAGATATGACAAGTGTGACCCAAAATAAGGGCTGGAAGCCAGTACTGGGAGGGAAGGTAAAGGAAGGGGGGCAGCCTGGCACCAGGTGCCAGAGTGTGTCTGCCCTTTGTCGCCGTCACCTGTCAGCTGGGAATTCTGCACGTCATCAGTGCAGTGGAGTACGACCAGCCCAGAGTCAAGACCCTGTTATGGACCAGCCGTGGCTTCTGTCAACACCAGTGTGTCTCAAGGGGGAAGCATTTTTAATGGTTTTAATGGTCTTGATTAACAAAAAAGATCCTTAAACATTTTAAAAAACGTATATTAAAGCAATACAGAAAAAGTATAAAAGTAAATAGAGTGATGTAGATTTTTCAGGATGTGTATATTATACACATACATACATATATGTATACATATACATACATATTAACTTTTTATTATGGAAGTTTTCAAACAGACATAAAAGTGGCACAAATACCATGGTGAACCCCCATGTACTCATGATCAGCCTTCAACAACTGGAGTGGTGGGTATGTGAGAGCTCCAATGAAAGCAACATGGCTTTTAACATTTTTCCAATATGTTAATGAGCTCCAGTGACCCCATAATGCAAATGTGTTAAACCTCCTGGTAGCCAAGCACCCCAAATTACTCCCCATCTCATTCCCCAGCTGCCTTGAGCCCCTATCTGAATGAAGTAAGAAAGACGTCAGTGAATTAACTTGCCCAAAATCATACAGGAAGCTTGGCTAGTGCCTGAAACATAGGAGGTACTCCCTCAGAGTTGAAAAAACAACCATTATAGTAGAATAAGAACTAATGTTTATTGAGCAGTTACTATGTGCCAGCCTCTCTTCTGGTCGCTCTACCTTCAGTATTAGCTCACTGAATTCTCACACCAGACCTGTAATGTGTATCCTCTCTTCATCCCTGTTTTACAAATGAGGAAATCTGACACAAAGAAGTTAAGCCACTTGCCCAACTTCACAGAGTTATTTAGAGGCAGAGCAAGGATTTAGACTCAAGCTTCCTGACTCCAGAGCCTGCCTTCTTTTTTTTTTTTTTAAGATGTTGGGGGTATGAGTTTACTAATTAATTTATTTATTTTTGGCTGTGTTGGGTCTTCGTTTCTGTGCGAGGGCTTTCTCTAGTTGTGGCAAGCGGGGGCCACTCTTCATCGTGGTGTGCGGGCCTCTCACTATCGCGGCCTCTCTTGTTGCGGAGCACAGGCTCCAGACGCGCAGGCTCAGTAGTTGTGGCTCACGGGCCTAGTTGCTACGCAGCATGTGGGATCCTCCCAGACCAGGGCTCGAACCCGTGTCCCCTGCGTAGGTAGGCAGATTCTCAACCACTGCGCCACCAGGGAAGCCCAGAGCCTGGCTTCTTAACCACACAAACAAAGCCTGACACGGGCAAAATGATTCCTGCTGGGAAAGATGAGTATGGAGAGGAGAGCCTCTCGTATGGAACAGGCACTGGGCTAAACATTTCCCTGTGACGTCCTAACAATCCCGGCCACAGAGCCTGTGGACCTCAGTGGGAGAGAATGTCAGCATTCTTCCTGAATGAGGAGCCATCCTGGTTTCCCCAGTGCCAGGCCTTGGGTGAGATTCACGTTTGAAAATATAAATACCTTATGTGTAAAAACTATTCATAGAAAAAAGTCAGGGAAAATATCCACCAAGTATTAACAAATGCTGGTCCTCACCCACAGTGGGATAGGGTCGGGGATGATAGGGATTTTTCTTTTCTTTTTGTTCATCTCAATTTTCTAATTTTTCTACAATGAGTATGAGTTATTTGTGTTACAGAGAGTAAAGGAAGGGAAGAGGAAAATATAAAAGAAGGGAAAATGGTACTCTCAAGGGGCCTTCAGCACTTTGGGGCTGGGATGGGAACAAGGCAGCAGGTGGAGAGGTTGGGAGCTCCAGGCAATGTGAACATGGGCGGCGGGGGACGCTAGGCACCATCTTGGGTTAGGGCCCGACTGGATTTAAAGGTAACGGTGCATGGGGTTCCCACTCTGTCCTCACAGGACCTGGTGGCCCTCAAAGGCCACAGCAAGTCAGCTTGTTTAAAAATATGCACTGCTGCCCAGCTCTGGTTTCTGGAGGGGCCTGGTGAGCCGGGAAGCAGCCGCAGCCTGACACCTCCGGGCCCACACTCATTTGGCAGATGCTCCAGGGATGGGGCTGTTTGTTCTCAAACGCTGCATCTTTGGGATTAAAAATAACCCTCCCCTTGACTTGGCTTGGCTTGGCTTGGCTCTGCTATCCCTGCCCGGGTGGCAGAGATGGGCGAAATGATCCCAGACTTAGGTGTTTTCAGCCTGGACAGACCTTCTACCCACCATGGTCCCCTGCCCAGCAAGCTACCCTCCATCATTAGCCCTTGATTAAAAAGAGGGGGAAAGCAAGCAGTTTGCAGTGTCTACCTGGTAGGAAGGTGACAAAGCCTCACTGGTATAGCCATGCAGATGCCACTAAAATAGCAACAGAGTGCTCTTAAAGCGAAGGTGCCAGGCCCTTTATCAACTATTTATTTATCACCTGTTAAGCACCATACATACACATGTGAGTTCTGCTGCAGCATGAGGTAGGATCTGAGGGTGCCACAAGGTACAACTTGTCCCCAAATATGTATGCCAGTTAAAAATCCCACTATCAGATTACTCCTTTCAGGCCAGAGAGTTGTGCCCCCATAGCCCCCTGTTAAGATGTGTGGGAGGGTTGGTGCTGGGGATTAAAAGTAAGATTTTCTTAGGTTGGTAAAGATCGTTTCAATTTAGAAATCTTACATATACAGGGGCTCACTTCCATTCTGATCCTCAGTCTTGGGGCCGAGGGTCCACAGGTGGGTATAATTTGTCTCCTTTATAGAAGAGCCTCAGAGAGATGAAGGCAGTGGAGGGGATGTGGCTGTGATTGGAACCCATTGATCCTCCCATCATGGCCAGTCAGTGACCCCATTACCTGCTTAGCTCCTCAGGATCCTGAGGAGAGTGGGTGGGAGCACAAGTGCCCTTCGGGAGAAAACCCAGCTCTGGCGATGGGGCGGCAGAAGAGGGGCTGAGAGGCAAAGCCACACCTCACGCCTTCACAGCTTGACCTGTGGCCAGCCCGCTTCACAGACATAGAAGGAAGGGTGCTGGAGCTACCCATCCTGCAAACAGGATGACAAAAAGGATTCACCTGGAGTTCCAGCTGCACTTGTTTTGTGCTGCTGCCTGAAGCACCGTGTTGAGAACACGACACGATAGATTATTGATGTCTGCCCCTAGTGCCAGATTAGGGCACAATGAGACGTGTTTCAAGTGTTTGCCATCCCTGCCCCTCCCGGAACCCCACAGTGAGGATAATGATGGGAGTGGTCCTGCAGGGTGAGGGGTGGAGGGAAGTACAGACCACAGCACCAGACACTTCTTGCCTTAATATCAAGACAACTGCTGACAGCCTGATGCCACTAGCAAATGATGCGGAACCTGATAGAGTCCACTCTCCCACCTGGACGGTGAAGTCACAGTGTTCATCTGATGCCCGCTTAAGAGGCCTGTGAGATAACTGGGGAATGCTTTAGAAGCAAGGTGTCCCATCGATCCAAGAAAGCAGTCTGCAGGTTGCAGCCATGCCCCTGTTTGGCCATCGATGTCTTCCTGAGAGTCAGTGTGGAGAAAGAATGGGATATCTGAGATGGGTAGAGAGCATTCCAAATGTTGAAGCCCAAGGAGCCCTTTGGGGCCATTGGGAGGGCTCCACACGCTCTTGGGTAGTGGCTCTCATGGCTGGACAAGGAGAAAGAATTACTCTTAGGTGGATAAGACAGCTCCTATAGCCCCCAGTCTTGGGGTTCTCATGGGAAAATGAGGGGCCTGAGTAGCAGGGAGATTGGGCTAGCAGCCACCTCCCCTACATATTAATGACTGTCTTGCTGAGCATCCCTGATTTCCTGCCCTCCTTCCCCAGCTCAGCCTCTTGGGACTCAAGATTTCTTTGCCTCTCTTGGTCTCCTAGGACACCCCACTCAGGCTTATTACCAACCCTGCCTTTCTCAAGCCTCCGAACTCAGTCCCTCATGCCCTTGACTTAATGATCTCAGCTTTTCTATTATAAAGACAAAGCTGAAACCCCCCCTTTTTTTTCATCGTAAAAGCAAAACTTTCCTCTTCGCCTCTAGATGTGTCTCTCCCTTCATGTCCTCCATCCTGCCACTGCTGTGAAAGGCTTGTCTCCTCTTTGCCAAGGAACCGAGCCCACCCCACCACTGGTGTGTTTCATCCCATCTACCCGCTGTTCCCTCCTCCAGGATTTTCCAGCTCTTTCTCTGCAGGGACACTGTCCTGCTTTGGAGAGCTTCCTGCACAGGCTGAGACGCTGTCTTGCACCCGGGGCCTTTGGAGCCACGTGCCAACCCCTCCCTTCCCTTCATTGCCAAATAAAGAGGGTCTCTGGCTTGGTGGGTTGGTTGACTGATTGATAGATTGCTACCAAGGCTGCCTTAGCCTCCCCATCACCACCACCCTTCCTCTGCCTTTGGGCCCCAACACAAAGGGCTTCTTATCACCAAGCCCTGGGCTCTGGCCAGTCCTGGAGTCTCTTCCCTCCAGCCCACAGACTGCTCACCTGCCTTTTCCTCATGGTTCCCATGCCCCACATGACCTTGGGTGTCCAGGTGTTCCCTTAATTCTGAGCATGACTCACCTCAGAATCAACAGCTCCACACTGAGGAATCTCAACTTGTCACAAAGCCTCTGTTTCCTGTGTTAAGT